TGTTTTTGATTCACTTAACAGATAATATTAATCTTTTTAGCTTTAGTTAAGTTAAACAAGTTCTAGTTCTGCTTATTTTTTTCTTTCGTTGAATTCATATTATATTATTTTGTCAATTACAGCGTTTTTGCCTTTTCCCCCCAGAGCTTTGGTTGTTTTTTTTTTAATTTCTCTCGTTACCTACTGTACATGACAATTTCAATTTATATAATATCATACTCTGTATATATGAGTTGTCAATACAACAGTAGTTTAGCATGTTTATTTATGAAATTATGAAGTTTTGAATCTAAAAATCGCGTTTTCCAAAAATTTAAAAAATTTACTTAGGTACAGCGTTTTTTCCCTGTAGTCTTCATATGAATACCACTTAAGACTGTTACGGCTCTCTAGGTCTTATATAATGTAGTCTTTTTATATTATGTAGGAAATGTTCTAATTTTCATTCCTCTGCGACGGCTTCAAGTCGTAAGAGTCAAGTGAATCTGTGGATACGCTTCCAGATTACATATCCATCATTTTTATTGGTAAATCATCTGTTGGATTTTTCCTGAAGCTTTGCTATTCTTTTCCTGTATTTTTTTATAGTGTTTATTTTGGCGCACGGTATTTGAATTACATTATATTCATCTTGAATATGTTTTTTTTACCTCTTTTATTCGGTAAAAGTTTTATTGTCCGTATCGTTTACCTACATTAACGTGACTTCTTTCGACTTAATGTTGGTATAATTCAAAGCCTTTCTTTCATACTTCTAGTACTGCGATTATACCATCTACTTTCTCCACTCGCTTTCTTACTTTTTAGCAGGGTCTACCGAGTGATTATAAGTAACAGTCAAGCAACGCTATTTATTTCAAAAATTATATTTTTAACTACTATTTGACATTTCAATTTTCATCTTGGAAATCGTTTTTAAACAAGATTATTATTATTTAACCCTTTATAGGGCAGAATTATTTTTTGGTAATATAAACAAATTCTTTGCAGATTATAGATAAGGAATTATCCGTTATTGAACTTTCATTCGTATTTTCATTTTATTTTCACTCCTTGTTGTTTTTTTAGGTGGTTGAAATTTCGACCACAGCCTGATTAGGTATGTTGACTTTGGTAAATGTAGTTGTGGTTCCATAATCGACCACAGAAAAAAAACACATTAAAGAAACATTTTTATTATGAAATAATGGAAAACATTGAATACATAATGCAACCTGGCAATCTGAGCATTTAATACTTGAACGTTTTGGCTTTGCTCTCGTTGAACAGAGTGCACAACGTCTTGATGTTCCTTTTTCTGGCATGTGATTGCCAACATCGCTTAGTCTCACCGTGCTTTCAACGCTAACAGAATTAGTGGTTGCTCCCATTTTCTTCGGTTTATTTCTTCCTATTGTTAGCTTAGGTCTTGGTCTCTTTCTGTTATAGAAATCACCTATGAGCTCGTTGGCCAATACACTTCTAAAATACAGGTGACTCATTGGTTTCGATTTAATGGACCTCATTTTCATTGTAGTCTTATAAGTTATATATGAATTTACCACTGCTGCATCAATCAAATAGTAAATAATCTTCATATACCATCTTCGGGATTTACATGAAATTGGATAAGAAGCATGAAGTTGATCGAATAGATCGACTCCACCCATATAGCGATTGTAATCACTTATGGCTTTTGGACACCTAACACTTTCTTGTTCACCATTCGGTTTTCTTCGCAAAAACTGAAGTAATCTCAAGTGGATTATGCATAGTACTGCCGACTAAAACACATTTGCGCCCCCGATCTTTCCATTTAACAACAGACATAGCATTGGACATGAAATAATCGTGTTCTCCCATTTTCATTGTTTTGTCCTTTCTCATTTGTGTTGGAAAGCCTTTACGATTTATTCTAAAAGTTCCACAGCAGAACAAATCATAGGTTAACATTTTCTTAAGAAGAGGAAAACTCGAGAAAAAATTATCGAAATAAATGCAGTAGTTTGCGCCTCTAAGAGACTCGGTAATGTCTAATACCGTTTTAAAGCGCCTAAACCATATTCAGCATGTTGTGATTGAGATTTGCCTTCATATATGCTAAATTTGTGCACGTATCCAGTTTCGGAGCATGCAACGACCCAAAATTTAAAGCCTCTTTTTATGGGCTTTTTCGGCATATATTGTTTGAAAGAACTTCGCCCCTTGAAAGCAACCATACTTTCATCTACCACAACATTTCTACTTGTATAAAAGTTCTCTTGAAAGCGTTGCTGCAGTTCTGTTATCAAAGGCCTTACTTTGAACAGTTTGTCAAAATTGGGGTTATTTTAATTTCTTCCATGTTTTCGTTATTGTTTAGATGGAGAAAACGAAGAATTTTTAAGAATCGTTTTTGCGTAAAAATTTGCGAAACTCTTGCATGTTAATATCAGTTGACCAATAATGTCTCAAACTAGGTAGTTTATGAAACCCCATGATTATAAGAACCCTAGAAATGCTTTCAGTTCTTCCTCAGTTAGGTCAAGATTATTATGATTTTGTTGTTGAGCATAGAGATTTGACTGTGTAATTATATTAGCTATAATATCTTTGCTCATGAACAAAGAAAACATGTCGAATGGTGAATTTATATTGACGGTTTTGCTGGGCCAAATGGTCTGGTAAACGGCGCATTCGAATATTTTGTGCATCAGAAGCGTTCTTTCTCCATTTATATGTATCATCGCACTTTACTGTGTTCTCTTGGTTCTCTTCTATTTCGTCTTCGCCTGAGGAAGTATCGACGTCGTCAAAAATGCGATTTGTTCTTACCTGAGGGTGGAAAGCTATATCATCCATTGAGTCATCTGAATCAACATCAAGAAATTCAACCTTGTCATCATCAGACAATTCTGCATCAGAATCACCCTCAAAATCTGAATTTATGGCTTGTTGATATGGAATACCATCTATGTAATCAAATAAATCATCCTGAGTCATATTTTGTAAATTTTCAAGTATATTGCGGTGTTCCATTTTACTGCAAAAGATACGTACATTGTTGTATACAAATACTTGAAAAATTTAATAACTTGATCTACCGCACAGCAATTTAATTCTTGGAAATATTATTCAAGTAAGTCAGATTTACGTAAAAAAGAATATAATTGTATAGATTTAAAATAAACAAGAGTGAAAATACATTTCAATAGAACAATCGTAAAATCAGCATGCGCTACTTTGAGGTTATGTTTAGTAAATCAAGATATATCATCTTAGCGCCAATAAAATCTGAATAGATAATAAAAGACCATAATACTGTGATGTGTTACCTTGAGTTTGATGTATAAATCTTTTGTAAATTATTTTTCTAACTTTTACAAAAGGCAAAAACCCGTGATCACGTTCAACGGTAACTTACAGAGTATGATGGGTTGTGGTTGGCGAATCGACCACATTGCTGCCACGTTGCCGTATTTTGTTCTGTGGTGTTCATTTTGGGTACAATTCATTTACAAACACTGAATTTGCACTTCGGTAACTTTTCATGTTAATTACTAGCTCATAAGTATTAATAAGAGCAGTGGTCGAAATATCGACCACAGACCTATAAAGAGTTAATATTTACCTATTTTAAAAAATTATGTAAAAAGTATAACCAACAAATTGGTCTTGATCTTGTAGGCAATAGGCATTGTAATTTCTATTACAATTAATTGTTGATAAATTCCGTATAACCATAATATTTAACTTAGTAAAGAAAGGACATTTCACAGAAAACATTTTAAGAGCAATTTCTTTCGTATAGTAAAAGCATTCAAACGTTTCTTACATTATTTAAACAAATATAATTATTTTAAAAAAGTCTTCCAAACTAAAGCTTAAACGTCAAGTAAGGAATTTATTTTCCAATTTTTGAATAATTTTCAAGAAAATATTTTTAACGCATTTAACTGCAACAAAGAAAATAAAAAGGAAAAATACCAAAAAACTAATGAAATCGTAGGCTTCCACGGCCAGAGTCAGAATTATAGTTTATTCGTCTTCCGGGTTTGGACAGTGTCATTTGTGAGTGATCCAAAAGTCTAGACTACTTTTCGACCACCCAAGAAAAATCTCACAATATCTACCCTCTCCTAAGGACCCATTACCGCCCCTATCTTCCTGTGGTGTCTATTCTATTCCTTGTTCATGTGGACATGTGTATATTGGCGAAACTGGTCGTTCCGTCAAAACTCGGATTCAAGAGCATCAAAGATGCATTCGATCAGGTCTTTTCTCCCATTCTGCAGTTGCAGAACACTGCCAAGAAACCGGTCATTCCATATTGTTCGAAAAAACCCATATTATTTCTAAGAGCCACTTCTTTTATTCCAGGAAAATCCGCGAATCTCTAGAGATCCGAAAAAATCCACATAATATCAATCGAGAGGAAGGATACTACTTGTCTCCCATCTGGAATCTCAGTCTAGAGCCGCCGTCCGGTCCCGCTACCACGATGCACCACATGATTGGAGAGCGCGCGCTTCTTGACGTTCGCGCCACGAAGTGTGCCGATACGTCCCGACACGACAAGTCACCGCGACTATAAATAGAGCGGTAGCGGAGTAATCGTCGGATTCACTCCCCGCCTCTCGACGCGTTAGTGTTCTGAGCTGTTGGACGTGAATCCCTGTCCTGGCATTTGGTTTTCACCTCTGGCTGCGTTGAGTAGTTGAGTTACTGTGACCAAATGCCCATCTTGGTAGTTAGTATTCGCCTCTGGTTGCGTTGAGTAACTGAGTTACCGTTGCTAACTACCCATCTTCCTGTCTTTTGTTTTCTTTTTCTTTATTCTCCTGAAGAAGCTACATACAATTGTAGCGAAACGTCGAGATGAACCCACTTTTGGGTCACTCACAAATGACACGGTCCAAACCCGGAAGACGAATAAACTACCAAAAACTAGTTTAATAAAAATTTTATGATTTACTTTAAAAATGTAACTTTAGCACAACTCTAGTAATTGTGTTGTGGATTGAATGTATTTTTTTTTTCAGGTGCAACATGGTACCATTTAAGAACTTCACTAACAACGGATCTAACTAGTCCAAAAACTATTTCTGGATTTTTGCCACAAGTGGATGTAATATGCGAAGATTTTTGCAATTTAATAAGGCAGCAACGTCAAACCAATGATACGATTATAGATTTGGAGGATGTTGCAGGTAGAATGGGTTTAGAGACATCATGTGCTTTAGTTTTGGGTCGCAGACTAGGACTTTTGCTAATGGGGGAGGAGTCAGAATGTGCCAAAAAGTTTGCTGAGGCTATTCATCAAAATTTTATTGCTATTAGGTAAGCTAAATTAATCATTTTAATGGCGTTCCAGTTATAAAATAAAAATAAAAATAAAAATGTATTTATGTTGGAAATAGATGCCGAACTCGGAATTTTGCATATCGTGATATATTTACATATATCAGAAATGCCAGCTACAGAAGTGGGGATACCATTTGGCAGCTGGTTAACATTATGTTCATAATGCATATATTTCACAGGCCGATGTAAAATTCGTCCAGAAATATCTCACAACAGTGACATTCCCCGCTCACACTAAGGATCAGAGTCTCTCCTCCTTTTCGCGGATGATACGGCCATTCTCACTTCAGGCTCCCACAGAGAGGGTAAACGACGGTCTGTATTCGAGAGATCGGAAGAATACCTTGACAGAGTCGTGAAGTGGTGCAACAAATGAAGGTTTACCCTAAACCCCTCTAAAACTCAAGCAAAACTATTCAAATTCCCTGACTATCGTGACGTCCAGGGCCGGATATCACTTTTGGGAGAAAACCTCGTTCTCAGGAACTCGGTTCTCTACTTGGGAGTTCGTCTTACGAGAACTCTCAATGGAAGGCTGACGTCCAAGAATCCCTTGAAAGGTGAGACAGAGGTTTAATCTTCTGAAAGTGCTAACCGGTAAAATTGGAGAAACGACTTCTAAAACATTGTTGCACACCTACAAGACTTTTGTCAGGCTACTAATCGAATACAAGGCATGCGTTTACCTTACTCTCAAGAGTCACCAACTGAATGTCATAGCAGCTACAGAACGTAGAATGCTAAGATACTGTATGAGAAATGATTGGTAGAATGCTAAGATACTGTATGAGAAATGATTGGTCGTATCCATCAGCCCACATCCACATATTGGCCAACATCACGCCAATCAAGGACAGAATCCTAACCCTTAGCAGGAAGTATGTCCTAAGAACCATAGATGGCTCGAACAACCGAGCAAAACGTACATTTAAGACGCCTTGCACACATAGAGGGCAAATACTCACCAGGTATCCCACTAAAAAAGTTCCATTTCCTCCAGCTAAACTTCTACTTAACGCTGGACCTGAACTTCCTGATGAGTATTTTGAAATTCTTGAAACATTCCCCATCTATTATCGCAGATAAAGACTGCGCGCCATAAACGCTAATAAAGAGCCGTTCCTACTGTATGGCTGTTAACCCCTGAAGTACCTCAACTGGCATGATAGGCAGATCCCAATTCTTCTTGTGCATTCTTATCGATTCCACATAAGTCACCTTTTTTTCCCCTTGCTCCTTAGTAGTCCACTACTTCTTAGCTCATGCATCATTTAATTGACGTTTTTTACACCCCCCCCCCACAACTCCGTTAAAAAAAAGGAGTCACCCATTCCTTGAAGAGGCTCAGGCCTAAACAAGGTTAAAACTCATGTGTCACCTAGGCAACATATGATTTATACAGATTTAAGCATAAAATTCACACTCCCTCTTAAGGAGAAAATTCACTCATCACAAATGACTTCGGCATCAAAATGTTTGAGTTTTGAGGGGACTCTCCAAGTTATCGATACCTAAATGATATGGTATGCTGGAGTATCTTCCAAAAATTTTCGTACGCATCTGAACGTCAAGAATAGTACAGCTTTCTACATGGTGTTATAAAGATGTTCACTAAGTTCTAAAGTTTTCACTAATATTTATTATCCAGATTTAGCCATACGGCTCACACTCCCTCTACGGGGAAAATTCACTCATCCTAGATACCTACGGTATCAAAAGGATTGAGCTCTGGTGGAACTCTTTCCGTGTTATCGAGCCCTAGGTGACTTGGTATGTTGAAGAAACTTCCACAATATTTCGGACGTCGCGAGGATAACAGCTTTCTGCATGGCCTTATAGTGCTGTTCATTTAGACCCAGCTATTTTATGTTCTCTATGAGGTTGTTGGGAATAACACCATTAGTAGATAGAATAATAGGTACTGTCTGGGTACTTTCCATTCTCCATTGTCGCCTGACTTGTATTTCTAGATCTCTGTACTTGGCGATCTTTTCGATTGTATTTAACACGTAAATTTTTGGTGTTGGGTGTCGTCACATCAATAAGTGTTGTTTGCCTAGTTAGTTTATTAACTAGTATGAGATCCGGTCTGTTATGCGCCACTGGTTGGTCTGTAAGCACAGTGCGGTCCCAGTATAGTTTGTAGTTGTCATTTTCAAGCATTCTGTCAGGGACGTATTGATAATAAAGAAGATGGTCGGTTTTTAGAAGTCCCAGTTTGTCAGGTAGTTCTTGATGGTGAGTAACCAGTCAATCAGTACTGACAAATGGCAGCCACCGGTAAGATGTTGGATGGTTTCTTGGGCTTTGCATCCGTATTGGCAATTTGTCATTTTGGACTTGAGGATCTTTAACAATATATTTCAGGTAATTTTTAGTTGGAATCACCTGATCCTGAATGGCAAGAGGGAAACCCTCAGTCTCGGGAAACATCTTTCCTGATGTCAACTAATAGTTCGCATCTGTATTGTCGATACATTCTTGGCTGATTTCATTGAGATGTCACCCATGTAGAGGTTTACATATCCAGTTGCGCATTTTTTTCTTGCTGAATCAGGTGGTTTATGCGCATTTCTTGTTCCCTCGGTTTAAGTGGCGTTGTATCATTTACTGCGCAAATTGTTTCATGTAAAGTTAATGTCTCAGCCTGTACCTGAAAATAAGTTCTTAAATAAGCAATTTTTTATCCAATTGCTTACTATATCCATAAGTCCTCTTCCCCCTTAATACCGCGGCAATGTTGTTCTCTCTACTGCACTGCGTGGATGATGTTTTTGCGCCTTTGTGAGAAGTGTTCTTACTTTTCACTAAAGACCCTCTATATAGCTTAGCGCGGAACAATCGTACGTATTTCATGCCTTAAACAAATTTTTACTATTAGATATGACCGATTTAGTTTTCTTACTCTTCACACGAACTCCGAAGTTAGTTCAGATTTCATTTATTTACGGTCAATTTTCCGCGCTTGTTTTACTCCGAGATATTTGTACATATCATTTTTACCCATTGCCTCGATGTTTTGGGCATCTTGCATATAGAAACCTCCGGGCTGAACCTTTCTTATAACTATATTTAGTATACGGCACTTGTCTAGTCCAAAATGCATACTAATATCATTTGAGAAATTTTCTACAGTTTTTAGCATCTGATCTAAGTGTTTTCAAGTGGAACCCATTAATTTTAAATCATCCATATACGAGGGTGGATTGATATAAAACTAGCCTTTGATAAAAAAAACAAGTTTTTGGAATTAAATCGATTTATTTCTCCACATAGTCCCTTTTTAGCTCGATACACTTAGTAAGACGATGTTCTAATTTTTTTATCCCATCCGAATAGTATTTTTGCTCGAGCTTTTTAAAATAGGTCGAAGTTTCAGCGATGACTTTATCATTTGTTGCGAAACGGCGTCCTCCGAGAAATTTTTTAGGTTTGGTAACAGGAAAAAATCGCTGGCGGCAAAATCTAGGAAATACGGAGGGTGCTCAACCAATTCATAGTTCAATTCGTGTAATTTTGCTATGACGACGGCCGATCGGTGAGCCGGTACATTGTCTTGGTAAAAGAGCACTTTTTTGCGTTCCAAACCGTGGCGTTTTCACTATATTATCATCGACTTCTATATATTTTCAATATATCTATCAGCCATTCATGCGGTACTGAATCAAAAGCCTTCTTGTAGTCGATGAAGGCGGTAAAAAGGCTCTTTTTTTTGGTGTACGCCTGGTTGGAAATGACTGAGTCGATTATAAGTTGTTCTTAGCAGCCCATGGATTCCTTAGCGCATTCTTTCTGTTAAAACTCCATGATATTGTTTAGATAACAGTGTTGGTAGATATGCTGGGCTACACAGGATGTGACCAATTTGTATAAAGTTGGAAGACAAGTAATTGAACGGTACTTGGCTGGATCTTGGGTGTTATTTTGATCCTTCGGAATTAGATAAGTGGTTCGCTGAGTAAGAAATGGTGGTATTTCCTGCGGATTGCAAATAACATGATTAATTAATACTGTTAAGAACTCGTGTACACTCCCAAACTTCTTTAGCCAGATGTTTTGAACTCCGTCTTGAGACTTCTTCAGTGGTGAAAGGTTCATAGGGAATATTACTGTAGTGATGACAGTTGTTCCTCGTTTCTTCAATCCATCCAGCATTGTTGTTATGAGTAGCTGGCGTCGAAAGTTGGTTTCACCAAAACTCATGAATTTCTTCTTGGCTTGGGTAGGATTTATTTGCATTTTCTACAGTGGAATTAAGTTTCCTATAGAAATCCTTCTCTGTTTACTCAAAAAATATATTGTCACATTTCCGGTTGTTACTAACTTTTTATCTCTCCAGACGGCCTGAGTAAATAGATAGTTTTTGTTTTAATGTGTCCAAGCATTGTTGAAGTGTATTGTTTTCTAGATCATGTCGTAAGTGTCTTAGAGTGTTAAACAATATTTCTTCAGCCCTCTTGATGACTTTTCTACTTCTAACTACTCTTATCTATTCTGTTATTTGTCCAATGACCCTACGCAGTAATTCAATCTTCCTCAACAGTCGTTTTTCCCAGGGTGCTATTATGTTACCAGTCCTTCCGATGTTGGTACCCCGTCGTGTTCTGATCTTATTTATGTTCTTATCATGATTATTAGTAAAACTATTATTAGTGACAGTGAAAATGTACTATTTAAAAATGATTATTGTATTATAGAACGAATAAATAATTAAATAACTAGGAATCAAAACAATATATAGGCAGAATGCTAGAGTATCATAATCAAATCATAGAGATAACCAGACACATCGAAATGGCAAGAACTAAGTTTATCAAAATGGGATTTTATTGAATTTAAGCTTGGATCTCGAAAAAGTTGTATCGCTTTCATTATATCTATCTATCTATACATCCATCTATACAAAAGAACGAATTTTGGAGGTGAACCAACGGAAATGATCCAGATTCTACGAGGCGTTAGACAAGGTTGCATACTTTCACCTATATTATTTAATCTAATATTCAGAGGAAATATTTAGTGAAGCCTTGGAAAAATGCGAACATGGAATACTTCTAAATGGAGAACGCCTAAACAACATCCGTTATGCAGACGACAACCGTTATTTTTGCAGACAGTTTGAACAGTTTACAGCAACTAATAAACAAAGTAAATGAAGTAAGTGAAAGATTTGGACTTCAAGTCAATATAACAAAAACTAAATTTATGATCATCAGCAAAAATAAAGTTAGAGACGCTCAACTACTTATCAATAATACACCAGTGGACCGAGTTAAAACAGTATAACTATCTTGGAACAACAGTAAATGAACAATGGGATCACTCACAGGAAATAAAATGTAGAATAGAGAAGGCTAGGAGTGCATTCAATAACATGGCCAAACTCTTTAAAAGCCACAATCTTAATCTGGAGATAAAAGTAAGGCTCCTACGATGTTATATCTTCTCAATATTGTATTATGGAGTTGAATCCTGGACACTAACTGAAGCAATGGAGAAAAAACTTGAAGCCTTCGAGATGTGGCTATACAGGCGAATTCTAAGGATATCATGGACAGACAAGATAACCAACGAGACCGTATTACGAAGAGTGGGCAAAGAAAGAGAGGTGATGTATACCATTAAAAGGAGAAAGTTGGAATATCTCGGACATATAATGAGAAACAGCACTAAATACAGATTACTGAAGGTAATCCTACAGGGTAAAGTATTCGGAAAACGAGGAATTGGAGAAGGAGAATATCATGGTTGAAGAACCTGAGGAAATGGCTCTCCACAACAACAACGAATCTATTTAAAGCATCAGTTAATAAAATAATTATAGCCAGAATGATTGCCAATATTCGGAACGAATAGGCACTGAAAGAAGAAGAAGATCTATACATCCCTTGCTGTCCAATTTTGGACATAGGCCTCCTCTTCCTTCTTCCACGTCTCTCTATCGTAGGCAGTTTGTATCTACTTTCATTATATATTATATGATAATTCGCGGACCTTTCCTTTCACCCGAAAATAAAATTTTGAGTTTACTTTACAAATTAAACAAAGTTTACAAAAAATTATTTTAAAATATTTTTAGGGATACATACTTTGGTTTGCCAATTTGGAAGTTTTTTACTACTCCAGCATACAAGAAACTTGCAGAAAGTGAAGATACAATTTATAAGCTGGCATTAGAGTTAATTCACACTGCAGATGAAGCCACACATGAAAGTGCCATTTTTCAGTCGGTTCTCAAGGCTGATATTGATGAAAAAGAAAAAACTGCTGCAATTGTAGATTTTATAGCAGCTGGTAGGTAACTGAAAAAATTGCTTTCCTGTAATTATTGTTAAAATTAACTATAAACATATATCTTGTGATATAGATCTTAGATTGGGATATTTCAGTTAACTTTTCTTCCTAATAATTCTTCCATAACTATCAATTCTCGTATTTTCAATTTTCATAATTTCGTCATTGGTTATTTTAAAGAACTCATCTTTATCGTGCATAGTTAATATATTTATCATACATCACTAATTGCGTCAAGGACTGAACATTTTTTTGATTTGTCTTCATGAAAACTAATTATTTTTTGTTTTCGTTTATTGCTTTAAATGAAATGATTTTATATTTGTTTCTTAGTATTGGAATGAAGTCTTCCCTTATAGCTCTCTCGTATTTGGAAAGTCCGCATTTGAATTTATTTTAGAAATTTATGATTATTTTTTAACTATTTTCGGTTGTAAGATAGTTTACCAATGGATTGTTTGAGAAAAAAATGTTGCTGTTTCGATAAGAGTTTGAGATAAAAAGAACCTCTTACCCTATTTCCTAAAAACCATTATCAGTTTAGTTTTTGTTTCTGTGGTTTTAACGTTAATTGTAAATTGTTTGTGTAGTGTTTTACGGTCAGTGTATTACATACCATGAGCATAAGTTCTGTTGTTGTGGCACGAATTGTAGTGGCGTTAGAAGATGTCCACGGTTAGAGCGAAACTGCGAAAAACGTTGGTGTAAGGCACTAGAGTGTGCAACGAGTTTGGCGACGGTAAGAAGAGACCGTTGTGTTTACTCGAAGACCTGGTTCACGTTAAGAAAGAATTACAATTGCTAGAAATGGGCCCTTATCGTTTCCCTTCGAAATCATTTGCAAGAAGTGAGAAATGTAAAACTAAGTCAATGGATAGTGAGGAAGCGACTTCATGCTACTGATTTATTTTTTCGAACTAGAGTAACTGGACCCCCGCTTTTCCGTGAACACCGAACTGCCAGGTTGAATTTTGCCCGAAAACACTTGGCTTAGAGAATACAGGATTGGAGTCATGTATTATTTATTTATCGTATGGCATACAATAAAAAATTAAACACACAATTAAAAAATCAAACGAACATCTAATGTATTGTTAATATAATGTAAAACATTTTCGGTCGCATTCAGGAACTCATTGAAAACTCCAGGGAATCGCCTTCGGGGACATTCTTCAACAATGTGACGGACGGTCTGTCGTTGCGCACCACAGTCACACTCAGGAGTAAGGGCTTTTCCCCATCTATATAAGCTGTCAGCACATCTACCGCTGCTTGTTCTTATTCTGTTTAGCGTTGTCCATGTATTGCGGGTCAGTTCAAAGCCTGGCGGTTTCTGATCGATACAGGCCATTTGATGTGCTTCTTGTGGTGAGTCGCTCTCCCATTGTGTTCTCCAAGCTTTGGTCAGGTTGAAATGTTCCTGATGTAAGGAGTTGGCTCTTAGCAATGGAGGATATCTGGAGCGCACTCTGTATATTTCGATATCAAGCTTATCTTGGTGTATAGGTAGTTGATGGTTATAGTAGAATTGGAGTCATGTATTGTTTTCCAATGAATCAAAATTCTGTCTTACGGGCTAAAACAAACGTGTAAGAGTGTGGCGACGTCCAAGCGGAAGATATCCTTAAGCACGTGTTGCCAAGCGACTAAACATTCAGTAAAAAGTCACTTTCACTTAAAGATCAGTGAAAGAAAAACAATATGTCCAGAAGTGAGATAAAAGGATCATATCATTGATGACATTGGGAAGATTGGTCTAGTCGAAATAGTCTTATGCAGAGATATGAAAAATGCAGTAATTTTGTAAAAGACGCCAAGCCACACAACCAATGATAGGATCAAATAATATTAAAGCGGACTACCCACGATAAATAAATGTGAAGAACCCGAAGAGACCGACAAATGATAATACATGTCTAATTCTCATATATTTTTATTGATTTATACCGCTTCAGTAATTTTTCTTCAATGAGTCCGTTATGTCCATTATGATTAAAAATAATCTAAAAATGTATCACACAACACCAATTTCTCCAATGTTTTTTTTTTATTTATTTTTTAATCATTTATACACTTTTATATTGGCATTGCCTATGTAACTTATTGATTTTACAGGTATTCACACACTCAAAAATAGTCTTTTATTCCTACTGTACTTAGTAGCAAAACATCCTTCTGCTCAACAAAAAATCTTGGAAGATTCATCCAAAGCATATTTGAAGGCATGCGTTATGGAAGCTTTTCGTGTCCTTCCAACAGCTAATTGCTTGGCTAGGGTAACAGAGGATGACTTGGAATTATCTGGTTATAAAGTTCGCGCAGGTAATACTTAAATTTATTTATTGTCTGATACAATAGTTTAAAATACGGTTAAACTGCCTAATAGTTTTTAACCTTGTAAAAATCAGGCTTACGATCTACAAAACAGATAAGGACCAATCAGTCAGGTTTTAATTTATACTTATATATATATATATATATATATATATATATATAAAAAGAAAAAGAAAAAAAAAAAAAAAGAGATGACAGATGTAGAAGAACAGAATGGCTTTCGGGCAGGCAGATCCTGCATGGACAGTATATTCTCTCTAAAGCAAGTTATCGAAAAAAGATTAGCCCACAACCTTTCAACTCATATAGTCTTTATAGATCTGACAAAGGCATACGATAGTGTACCACTTTCAATGCTTTGGGTAGCAATGGAAAAACAAGGAATAAGCAAAAAAAAATATACAAGCAGTACAACAGCTCTACAAAAATATGACGGCAAACATTAAAACTGGAAATAGATTAACTAGAGAAATTCCTATTAGTAAGGGCCTAAAGCAAGGCTGCTGCATAGCACCTACACTCTTCAAAATATATCTAAATGAGGCACTCTCACTGTGGAGAAGAAAGTGCTGCAATATGGGCATCCCAATCGGAGATGATAGATTGTACACGTTACATTTCGCTGATGACCAAGCCATTCTAGCTGAAGACGAGAGTGATATAAGCTACATGCTTAGAAAACTGGAAAATGAGTACACCAAATGGGGCCTCACAATTAATATACAAAAAACTGAGTACTTAGTTGTAGGAGAACAACCAGAAAGCCTACAAATAGAAATGGGAACTATAAAACCAACAGACAATTTTAAGTACTTGGGAGTCCAAATAACATCAAAAGCAGGAAGTAGTGAAGAAATACATTCCAGGATTGGCCAAGCAAGATTAGCCACCAGACAGCTACACGGACTATTATGGAATAAAAAAATAACAAAAGAAAATAAAAGAAGAATTTATAAAACAATAATAGAAAGTATTGGACTGTATGGCGCCGAACTCTGGGAAATAAACCAAAGAAACAATTCAAAAATTAAGGCCATGGAAATGAACTACTGGAGACGATGTTGCCAGCTCACTAGACTTGATAGGGTGAGAAACGAAGATATTCGGAGAGAAATGGAAATCGATTTAGATATAATAGACACAATCGAAGCCAAAAGACTTAACTGGTATGGACACCTTCAGAGAATGCCGGAAAATAGATGGCCAAAAAAAATAGAACAATGGACTCCGCCAACTAGAAGAAAACGAGGTAGACCAAGACGATCCTGGAGAGACGATGTCGACGATGCAATGACCGCCAGAGATCTAACAACTGAAGATTGCTTCGACAGAAAAACGCTGGAAATTAGGATGCGAGAAGCGGCGCCAGCTGTAGAAGACTCGCTTGTTATATATAATATAATATATATATATATATATATATATATATAATATATATATATATATATATATATATATATATAATATATATATATATATGTAGTTTTGAGTTTCTTGAACCGTATTATATTTAATATAAAATTAATGTTTCTTGGGTTTAGGTTCAATAAAGATATTACATGTGGAACTAGATTTTATTTTCCATTGCAATCAATCAACGTTTCGGCAGGAAACCCTTGCTTTGTCAAGATTCTAAAATGTGTATATATAAGGACAAACAGATATTGTAAAATATGTATATATATATATATATATATATATATATATATATATATATATATATATATGACTTACCAAAACGTAAAACGTGACACAGACATTAACGAACTGACATATAAAAGTTGATATCTGATATCTCATTGTTTACTGTCATTAGTATATAATTATTTTTATATGGGCGTATCGTTGATGTTTTTGAAAAAGGTAAGGTGGAGATATGTTATGACTTTAGGAGCTTTTTATGATGTTTTATTATTATTGTTTAAATCAGATTGAAATATATTTTATTTAGGTTTTGTGTATCTTTTTTGTCATTTATTGCGTTGGTGTTTCTTTTTATTTCTATTGATTCGTATATCTCCCTCTTCTTTTTGTTTTTTTCTGTTTTTAAAATTTTGATGTTTTCAAAGTCAAATTTATGCTTCTTCCCCCTTTCATGTTTTGTGAGCGCAGTGACGTTGTTCTTGTCGTATTTATGAGAACGAATTCTGGATTGAAGCAGTTGACTGGTTTGACCGATATAGACACCTTCACAGTTTGTACATGGTATCTCGTAAACAACATGTGATTTTTTAAGTTTTGGAGTTTGTGTTTTTAGTTTTGTGAAGTATTTATTTAAGAGGTTGTTGCCTTTGTGGGCCACTGTTATATTATGTTTGGCTAAAAGATTTGTTAGTTGTTCGGATAAACCTTTTATATATGGAAGAGTTGTATAAGTGGTTTTGATACTGTTAGGTTTGTTGTTAGTTGCATTGTTATAAAATTTATTGAGTCTTGATTTGAAAATAGTTTCGATTAGATGTTCGGGATATGCATTTTTTAGAAGGGCATTTTTTGCTTTTTTTATTGCAGTTGGTCTGTATTCTGGATCTGTTAGTCTTATAGATTTATCAGCGAGACTTATAATTACAGACTTCTTATGGGAAAATGGATGATGGGAATTGTAGTTAAGTCTATCGTTTCCTGCATTCAATCACCCTTCGAAAATCTTTCAAAGTTCTTGAAAAACATTATCTCCAATGTCATAAATAAAAATCCTTATTATATTAAAGATTCCAACGATCTTATTTCTAAAATTAAAAACATTCACGTACCGGATAACTATAAATTAATCTCTTTAGATGTCATTTCACTATACACTAAATATCCCAATAAAACTTGCCACTGACATCATTAAAAAGAAGTGGAATGACATAAAAGAATACACTAACATCCCATTGGAAGAATTCCAATCATCTGTAGAGTTAACGTTAAACTCAACATACTTTTTATATAAGGATGAAGTATACCAACAAATGGATGGATGCGCAATGGGTGCAAGTATATCTAGTGTCATTGCCCAACTGGTTCTGGAAGACTTAGAAGAATCTGTCATGAGTCATTTAGATTTTAATGTACCATTCTTCTACCGCTATATCGATGACTGTGTCTGTGCTATTCCAACAAATAAAACTACCGAAATCTTAGATATTTTCAACAGTTACCATCCAAAATTAAAGTTCACTATAGAAATTGAACAAAATAATAAAATAAACTTTCTGGATATCACCTTACATCGCATTAACAATACAGTTAAAACCATGTGGTTTACAAAAGAAACATGGTCTTCACGATATCTTAACTACAATTCCCATCATCCATTTTCCCATAAGAAGTCTGTAATTATAAGTCTCGCTGATAAATCTATAAGACTAACAGATCCAGAATACAGACCAACTGCAATAAAAAAAGCAAAAAATGCCCTTCTAAAAAATGCATATCCCGAACATCTAATCGAAACTATTTTCAAATCAAGACTCAATAAATTTTATAACAATGCAACTAACAACAAACCTAACAGTATCAAAACCACTTATACAACTCTTCCATATATAAAAGGTTTATCCGAACAACTAACAAATCTTTTAGCCAAACATAATATAACAGTGGCCCACAAAGGCAACAACCTCTTAAATAAATACTTCACAAAACTAAAAACACAAACTCCAAAACTTAAAAAATCACATGTTGTTTACGAGATACCATGTACAAACTGTGAAGGTGTCTATATCGGTCAAACCAGTCAACTGCTTCAATCCAGAATTCGTTCTCACAAATACGACAAGAACAACGTCACTGCGCTCACAAAACATGAAAGGGGGAAGAAGCATAAATTTGACTTTGAAAACATCAAAATTTTAAAAACAGAAAAAAACAAAAAGAAGAGGGAGATATACGAATCAATAGAAATAAAAAGAAACACCAACGCAATAAATGACAAAAAAGATACACAAAACCTAAATAAAATATATTTCAATCTGATTTAAACAATAATAATAAAACATCATAAAAAGCTCTTAAAGTCATAACATAATCTCCACCTTACCTTTTTCAAAAACATCAACGATACGCCCATATAAAAATAATTATATACTAATGACAGTAAACAATGAGATATCAGATATCAACTTTTATATGTCAGTTCGTTAATGTCTGTGTCACGTTTTACGTTTTGGTAAGTCATATATATATATATATATATAATATATATAATAATATATATATATATATACATATTTTACAATATCTGTTTGTCCTTATATATACACATTTTAGAATCTTGACAAAGGCAAGGGTTTCCTGCCGAAACGTTGATTGATTGCAATGGAAAATAAAATCTAGTTCCACATGTAATATCTTTATTGAACCTAAACCCAAGAAACATTAATTTTATATTTATATATATATAATATATATAATATATATATATATATAATATATATATATATATAATTCCTTTTTCATTTGCCTCGGTATTCTAATATTTCACATTTGGTGAGAGGTTCGCTAATGTTTTCCTCGATTTAGCCAGTTTATCTCATGAGACACCTACTTTGATTTATATTATTTTTCACCTTTTTATTGATTTGAAGCTCTTTAAGGCCGTTTTATTCACCGCATTTACTTGTGCGTATTACCACAGTTTGATGTGTGGTACCATGTGACAGCTTAACACAGTGATATGGAAAAGAGAACATATGACACAAACGATGCTTCTGTATTTACTAAATGGGACCACTTGATGTGGAAATATAAATGGAAAATATATGGAGGAGTCCAAGAACAGGGTTTGTGGCGTAGACGCTACAACTTTGAGTTATACAAAAGTTTTGGGGTTTTTGGAGTTATACAAAAGTTTTTATACAAAATACATTTTACAACCTGACGTTATAAAATTAGCACGCCTTTGATGGATAGGCGAGGTATGTAATTAGGCGAGATGAAGATGCAACTATCAGAAAAATTTTCTACCGAAGAAGACCAGTGGGAAGACGATCCAGAGGAAAACC